TCGGAAGAAGGACATGAGTATTTCCGCGGAAAAGGAAGAGAAGAGAAAAGACGGACGGAGAACGAAAGCGGTTTGGACGGAAGCAACTACCAGACGTAGAAAGTGAACGTGGCAGGTCGTGGCAGGACGGAAGGGTAGATAATTAGACAAGAAACACAAGGCTTGTGCTGTTTCCGACTCTCCTTTCCTCGCGCCGCCCCGACGCAAACCTGTTTCATCCGACCTTTTCCCTCGCGCGCTCTCGAGCCCGTATCCTCTTTAATTAAATATAAGCGTCGGCCTATCTCAGTTTCTCAAACCGAGTCGCTCCGTTTTCTTCCACCGTGTTTGGCAGTCTCTCCCGGGTTTCAGACGTTTATCCATGTTTATCAGCGGAGGCGCGCGCATGTACATAAAAACAAGATTGCGATAACATTGTCTGGCTGGCTAATCCACGCTGTACATTGCGCAGCCATTTTTAATTAACAATTAAACTTTCACGGAATTCTTTATCGAATATTAGGTGTTGTACTTATTACCGCGTGCTATTCTTGTCGTTTTTTCGCGCTTTTTTTATCTTGACATAACGTATAATGAAAATATACATTTAATTAATAAGAGCTTTAAAATCCGCCGTTCAATCCGTTAAATAAATATACTTTTAAAAGAGACTTTTTTTTAATACGTTTTTATTTATATACGTGTGCGTTAGTTTGTGCGCGATAAATACAATTGTTTGTATCTTATATTTTAAGTTATTTGCAAGTTAAATTTTGCGAGAGTTGTTTTCTACAATTTCACAACTACATAATTAGGATAATATTGTAATTAACTTTTCATCTATAAACGCGCGCCCTCATTATTCTTTATTTCTCAGTACTAATTACGAACTATCAACGAGCGTCTTTCAAAGTAGTTATTTGTAACATTGTAGTGCGATTTAGAGTTTCGTGTTCGCGTCGAATTACCGGCAACTCGGTAGTAACAATTACCTTGAAAGGATGGTGCGAAGCCTCGTGTTCTCGATTAGCATCGCCACTTTTCAGTCTATCCGAGTCAAATAATTGTCCGTTTTCCTGGATTTTTGTTATCTCATTTAATTTCACAGAATTGTTATTTATCCTATCAACAAACGTGTCGTTACAATCGATTTGTCTCGCCGAGTTTATAACAAAAACATTGCCAAAACCGAACCGCGGGACGCTATTTGCCGACGAATTCATCAATTTTCGCGACAAAATCGACGAAGTGTTTATCCTTGAAATATTTGTGTCGTCAATAAAATATGGTTTGACGCGCACCTTTCGCCGTTCTCTGCCCCAGTCGAAACTCGCGGGCGACCGACCACGCAACGTCTTAGCTCGATTCCCGTCTCCATTATCCGAACGACGATCGTTCCGCTTCGTGTTCTCGTAGTCGAGTCTTCTTCTATATTGCTGAAGATAATTCGATTTATCTTCGCTTTCCACGTGAAAAAACGGTAATGACGAACCATTAAGGCGCAATGAGCGCAAATTAGCACGACCCGCGTCGCGACTGTTCCACGTAAATCCAGCGGCTTCCATATTATCCGTCGTAAACGGTATTCCGTCCACGTTGCTCAACGATGATTCGAGGAAATTTTCGATCGATCGCCTGTGCGTGTTCAAGGAGTCGAAAACTCTGCGGAATATCCGCTGGTAAGTTTGTCGTTTCGGAATCGCGTTGTCGGTGGGTGTCGCCGTCGTCGCCGTTTGTCCCGTTGTAAAGTGAGACGATATCGAGGAGCTCGAGTACGCAGACGGTTGATCCGCCGGCACCACGTGAACCAAATGCCTCCGACCCCGCTGATCGGTTCCCAGAATCAATGTCGGCGTCAATCGATTCGCTTCCTCGGCGAATTTTTCCGTCGGTCGAGGTCGTTGTCGCCGCGTGTTCTTGAATCTGTGCTTCTGCTCGACCGAGTCTTCTCTCTCGGTTTTCTCGGTGCTGCTCGCGTTTTCCGGAACGACCGCCGCGCGACTTCCAACTTCCTCGTGCGGTATTTCGTCCCCCCTAACGCTCGAGTCTCGTTCCGTCAATCGTCCGTGATCGTTCGATCGATGATGCTGCGCGGAGAAGCTGCTTTCCAAATTGGAAAGAGAATCCTCTCGCTCGTTGTTCCCGTTGTGCTGCGTTCCGTTAATCGGGACATCAGGTGGTGCGCGTTTCCCCTGGGATGTCACGTAAATGTAGGAATTCGGCCAGAGATTGCCCGCGTGGAGATGATCGTCCGCTTGTGGCATTATCGTCAGCTGGAGATCGTGTCGCGGCGGGTCGGAAACCGATGGCGACCGCATGACCCTCCGCAGGATCCACTTGAACAGGGGATTCCTCTGCGCCGCGCATGGCTCGCAATCAACGCAGCCGTCCTGGCATAACATCCAGTGACCGTTTAGCAAACGGTAGACGTTTCCGCGTGACAGAACGACGTTCACGTCGTTGTTCGAGCGCGCGGCGGTCGTCCCGCCGTAGAAGGACACGTCCAGCGGACGCGCATGGGGCGCGTTGCCATCCGGCAACGGGGTGACCGATTTGAGAACAATCTCACGGAGTATGTACGCCCAAGGTGGCGCGAGATGCCACGGTATCGTCGGATCGTATCGCTGCTGTTGTCCAGAATGATCGTTGCCGTGACTCGAAACGATCAGAAGAAGCTGAAACACGATTCAATTTGCTCAGATATCTCTGAGAGAACGACGGGTAGCAAAAGTACAAACAAATACAAAATAAAATATTTACGCGGTATAACGTCTCATATTATCCCGGTACGTATGTCCGTTTTTTTTAAACTGCGCGTAGAACGTACAAACAACATTTTCGGAGGTTACATCCGAAATATCCCTCCCCTCAGGATTGTGAAGGATACGAAATTATCGTTCGATGCATTTTAAACGCGCGCGTGTGTACGATGCGTATATATACCTAGCTATATATCGGCGCGCCGATACGCAATCGGGAGACAATCGCGGAACACAACCAGATCGGATTCTCCGCACGCGGAAATATGCAAATAGAATATTTGAATATTTTAACTGAGCAATGTGTATAGACGAGCGCCGAGTTGTACACAAAAGGACGAGAGAGGCCGAAATTAAATCTGCCGCGAACAGACGCGGCATGAAAGGGATGTCAATATTTGAGGAGCGATGTAACAAAAAGAGAGAGAAAGAGAAAACTAATATGTCGTCGAGTACAAATGACATCTTAAAATTGAATCGTTCAACACTCACCGTCATCAGCGCGTGTTTCCCGCTCGACGTGTACATCATTTCGCGGCCGCGATCGCCACCGCATTGACAGCGCGGAGTCGCGAAAGTAGACAAAAAGTGTCCCTCACTCGCGGGACAGAGATGAGTAAATCATTGCTCGAAAGCGCGACGTTATCGCTGCGCTATCAAATGTCGAGATGTCCAAGTTGGATATCGGCCGTCAAGAATGCTGACATTACTCACGGCTAAACATTCGCTCTGCGATCAAACAACGTAACACAAACACATTGCCGTAGATGGCTTTATCGCGAGTAATTCGAGAACGCGGCTATTACCAGATCAAGTAGCCCGCGCGGCTGAGTCATACACGCTCGAAACGATCTGTGTAATACAATTCTACAGAGATCTTATTTAAAAAAAAAAAACACACACACACACACATACACACACATTGTGAAGAAGAACATGAAAAGACGGAGAAATTAATTCAAAAGTACTTGAAAATTCAACATTTAATTTACACAACGAGAACATATCTCGAAATAAAGTTGTGAGAAGAGATGTATTTAAAGCGCTCGCATTGTTTTGTGTGTAAAACCTGCGGAAGGAGCGAAACATTTTTTATTTTGGTAGAAAAAATCTCAGAAAAAATAAAAATATCTAAACGATATGAAATGCAAAGAAGCGTAATTTTTTTTTCTGGTCTTCTTAATTTATTTCAAATCTGAAACAAGTCTTATTCGCATTATCTCTTTGCGCGCGCGAGAATTGTTTGACAAATATATACGACAGCTCTTTAATTCATTCCCTCTGTGATCGCAGTGCATGAGGATTCATCATCATCGCGGAATGGATATGCAAGCGATATAAATACACGATCGGGGTTGTGACGTTGATCGTATCTGACTAACGGAAACGTTGGAGAATATCATATCCGGCGGTTTGATAAAATATATACGGGTCGATGTAATCTGCGGCGTAGCCTAGCTTGATTCTATTTCGCGTTTCGGTTTATCGGCCACGCTTAGTCAGATAAACCGAGGGTTTGTTTGCGGAGAAACGACGCGCGGTGAATTACTGTTTCATTAACGTGCTACACATCGGTGCCGTTTGATTAACGACAGAAGTGATTGAAAAATGCGTCTGGGTCGCGTGAATTACGAAACGCATAGATTCTTCGCGGTGTCATTATGGCGTTCGCACCCAATGCGCGTGTGTTTCGATAAAAACATCTTTCTGACGACAACAATAATGACGTGTAATGTCACATGTTTTTTTTTTCTCTGGTAATAATGAGAACATTTTCGATTAACAGTATATGCAACATAATTTTTTCATCTTTTAATATCAGTAAAATGAGATAATTGAAATATTATTTTTTTAAGCAGCGTATCATATTATAGAATAACAATAAATGTTCACAATTATAATATTAGAGAAGGGTTTTATGATTTTATACATAATTACGATTTTGTAATTATAATATTAGAGAAGAGTTATGTGATTTTATGTATACACACACAAAGAAAAACATTTGAATTTAATTTTATAATATTTAGTTTCAAAACTTTTGTATGAGTAATTTTTTATAATATTTACTTTCAAAACTTTTTTATATTAAAAGTAGTATAGAAAACAAAGTATACAGATACAAGTATCATCCAGAAGGGTACGCTACCTGCCGACCGTGTTTGTGGCGCCAACTCTTAATATGGAGGCAAACCTTCGATTGTCTCTGCCTTCGTGTTACTTTAAGGGATGAATGTAGGAACAGTCGGCAATTGATTTTCAAAATTGACAGTTTAATCGACAACATTTTAATATTCACACTTATGATTAACACAAGCAAGAAGTCAGTAATAATGATCTTTATTCTTTAAATCCGACGAAGATCAATTACTCGTATAAAAAATGGCCGCAGAAACCTTGCCGACGCAAGGAACACCACTCACGGTGGATAACATGAATCTTGTCAGTCTGCAAGTTCCTCTTCCTAAATTGCTCGATCTCGCTCTCGGAACGCCGGAAGTAAAGACAAAAATTAAGAAATTATTTAATTATAAATAAGAAATTATTATAGACATATTGCGAATATAATAAACACACACATAATAATAATGACATTAGATTGGCGCGGTTAATTTTAACATTCTGCACACCTTCCTTCACGTGCTGTTGCGACAAATAAATTTGCAAGCCATTAAAGTGGAATACCGCGGCGACAGCGCGAAACGTGTACAAGTAAAAGAACAAGAACACATAATGTAAAATAAAAAATAGAAAGTAAATATTTAAAACAATTTTCTTTCGCTCTCTCCGTTTATTTCAGTCGTTGGTAACAACGTTGAAACCGGAAACTCTTCTGCAGTTTCAAGAGTACAGTATTACCAACGGTGAAGATGCGCCGAGACAAGAAGATGACGATATCGTTGAGATATCCGTGGCAGGTACAAAACTTGCGATTTCCGTTTTGTACATGTGAAAGTTATACAACCGGTCGATTGTTTTGATCTTAGATACTCAAGTACCGACAGAAGTAATTACAGACGACGACGTAAAAGTAACAAAAGGCGTGAAGCGAAAACCATACGGAAAAGATGACAGACATGAGACAGTCTTGTTTGTGGAATCTATTGTAGACGAAACTACTCCAACAGCGTTGGCGTTCAAAGATCTCGAACAAACTGTTTGTGCAAATTAATTGTTCTTTAAATTGCTAGAATAGATGTAAATAGAGCGATTGTAAAAATCTAGCAATGTAATTAACAGGTAAGAGAATTGGAACAGCGATATCAGGCTTTGGACGAATTGTCCAAGTTTCCGGAAGTGCTCGAACGTTTGAAGGGCGTGCTCACGGATCCTATATCGGATGTGTGGCACTTCATAAATATCAATAAACGATTGGACGCGAGCGCAGAGGGTATTGATAAGGTACACTGATATATATTTTGTGTCAGTTTCGTGAATTTTTTTTAAACAAAAACTAGTGGAACAAGAAGAGCGATTTGTTTGAAAATTTTTAACGTCAACAGCTTGCTACAATGGTGCAAGATTACATGATTAGGACCGATCCTATGGTCGTATCAGCGGATGAGAGATTGAGCAAACTCGAACATAAAATATCTAAGATACAACGAAAGCTCGCTCAGATACAAAAGATCATCAAACACGAAGATGAAGAAAAAGACGAAGTGAGAGAAGAAAAAAATGACAAAGTAAATGATAAAGAAGATGAAATAGACAAGGAAGAAGAGAACGATAAAGAAAAGGAGAAAATCGATACAGTGACGAGAGAAAAAAATGACAAAGTAACGGATGATATGGAGGATGAACTAACGGACGAAATAACGGACACAGACACAATAGATGAAGCAGCTGACCGACAGCCGATTAACGGTAAGGATTTGAACAATTTTCACGAATTCGCGTGATTTATTATTGTTTTTAATGTTGAAATTATCTGCGTCGCTTATACAAACACACAAAAATATAAAACTCCAGTTTAATATTTTATCGTAACTGTTCTGAAACGTGTACTAGAAATAGTTTATTGACTGTAGGAAAACATATCTAGATAGAGACCTAAGAGAGATACGTCAAGATATTGAGGCGTTGCAAACCGACGTTGCTGTATTGCAGAATGACGTAGTTCAGATACAGGAAGAACTGCAGAACATTAACGAAAGATTTATTCGTACGTTTTTTTTTTTTAACAATTTTTGAAATATGCAGTTTTTATTTGAGATTTTCTTTCTGGATTTATTGTATGTGGAAAAAATAACACGCTGTATTACCGAGTATAGAAAACGGAATAAGACCAACGGCTCCCGTCGCAGAACTTTCTGATGCGGCGGCTCCCGTTACGGAAACGATTGCAGACGGCGAAGAAACAATCAGCGAGGTGACAAACAATATCACAAACTTGGAACAATGTATACAAGTTGTGAGAACGCACGTCAAAGACTTGCGGGATGTTGGTCACCGCGTGACCGCATTGGAGCAGGAAATCGGTGATTTGATAGATCGATTGGATAGCGTGCAAGCGGCGGTGAGAAAACCGGATGATGACGAGACCAAACATGTTGTAAAACTACGAGAAATAGAAATGTATGTGGACAAACTCACAGAAACCATGAACAAATTGCTCGATGACAAAGAAAAACAGGAGGGCGACATTAACGTAAACTTGTTTGTTTTCTTTAAATATCAAAGATAATTGAACACGGACGTTATGTGTCATAAAAAAAAAAAAACATTTTTACATCGAACAGACATTGGTGCAACAAATAGAAGTTTTGAAGATCGTGAAAGTAGACAAAGAAGATCTCGAAGACGCTCTGGCTGATAAGGCAGATGCGCAAGCTGTGATCAGAAAGGTACGAAGTAACACGTGACGTTAAAGTAAAGTCACGTGTTGTTTTTTCTGTCCTCCTCCCTGTCACGTGACTTGTAACTTTTTTTTAATGCGCGGTAAAGATCAACTGCGAATCAAAAATTGTTACAGGTGTCGCATGATAAATTCGACAGTGTCTGCGAGGATCTCGCGCGAGGTCTCGAAGAGGCGATCGACAAATTGGCTAAGCAAGAAGCGATTTGGCAGCAAGCGCTCGATGAGGTGCAGAGCGAGATCGCCGGCAAGGTGGACAAAATGGAGATGACACCGTTGAAAGATTTCATGGACACGAAATTGAAGTCGCTTCAAGAGAAACTGAAAATAATGGCCGAGGCGAGACGCGAGATCGAAGCGGCTGGAACGAAGAAATTGCTTAGGTTTTATTTATTTACATAAAAAGATTTATGTAAATAAATAAAATTCTTAATACATTTGCGTGTGTGCGTGTCTCTTCTTCTTCGTTCAGAGATGTTCAATGTATATCGTGCGACAAGGACGTCGTGATGAGGACAGAGGAAGTCGGCAGGTTTCGTATGGAGCCATTACCTTGCACAACCAGCATAAAGCCTTATCTCACGTACAAATTGGACCAAGTTAGAAAGCAACAGAAGAAATTACCTCACAAAAATATGATTCAGTTTGAAGCAGCGGTGCAGGAAGAAGTTAGAAGAATTAAAGCGAAAGAGGAACTTTTGAAAACTCCTAGGTAAGCACTTTTTTTTTTTTAACAATAAATACTTCCGATCTTGAAAATCTTTCGAAATATTATTTTTGCACGTCTCAAGAAACAAATAACATAAACAGTTACGAATTTATTGTAACTTTATATTGTAATATTTTTTAAATTGCAACTCAAGTGTGAAAAAAGTTTCTTTTTAAAGTATTTCAAAATTTTCCTTCTATAAAATTGTATAAAAGCATTTTTATCGGGGATCTCTGACAAATTTAAACTAGTTTGTTGACAAATATTAATTTTAGTCAAAACAAAAATATTTGTCGCACTTTAAGGCCGTACGTTTGATAAATCTGTTATATTAGAGAAGGTCATCTCGTCAATCGATATTGCGGTGGGAGTCACACGACCACGACTCCTCAGCAGAGAGTTACGCGGACCGGGCACTTCCTTACCCAATGGGGACCCAAGGTGATACAGATGACTGAAGGTATGATAATGGGAAGAGACGGTGTGATGTATCACAGTCGACCAACTAAGACGGACGTATGTGGACCGACTTGTTGGGAAAGTTCAATCTGCGAGGATACTCGATCCCCGGTGAGTATCTCGGCGGTGATTTCCTCGTTATAAGTAATTCAAGTGCTCATTTCGTTCGCGAAGTATATACCACTTTTCATTTTCGTTTTACCATCTAAGGAACATCCGACATCCGTTCCATCGCCAAATCGTAAATCATCCCGTCGCTCGAACGCAAATAAAGTATCTCGTAAGTGAATAATAAAATACTTCGAATCTTCTGAGATTTTTGCGTCTTTTGACATTGATTTTTATACTATATTTTTATACTATATTTTTTTTTTTTTATCAATGAATAGAAAAACGGAATGAAAAGAGATCGTCGAAAGAGCTGAAGATATTGGAACCAGCAGAAAAACCAGTGAGTCACATTCAGCTTCTCGTGCTAGTAAAACTATAAACTTCGTAAATCTTTATTGCAATTGTGTTTAATTGTTTTACAGATCGAAGAGCAAGAAGTAACGCAGGAAATGTATACGTACGAAGCGAACGACGAATAAATTAAATGTACATGTACAATGGTATCATCGATTTTATTTGACAGCAAGAGAAAATTCGCTTAATTAACGTAGAGTCCACTTAGAGTCCACACACTTGTGCTATAATATTCTTGTATTTTCTTTCGGAAGCACTTGTATATTCGTCGTACAATATTGCGAAATTATATGAAAACAAATTTGTAATTTCACACCGCAAAAAAGAAAAAAAGAAAAAAAGCAAAATTACCTCTTCTTCAAGTCAAAATGCGATAAGAGCGAAATGAAAGAAAAAAAAATCAATCAGCGTGGAGTTATTAAATATTTTATTATTAAGAGAGATTTCCAGAGTACACAAGACTATCTAGTGAAGTCGACTTGGAACATCGGTGGTCTACCTTGCTGAAACAAAAATATTCGTCGCACTTCACGTTACGGCCGTACGAGACCGCGTATCGGAATATTGCACATTGCCGAAATCCGAGATCCGTTCACGTGTATAGAAAAACACGTGCACAGCGCTCGGATTATTCACTCCGCTTTTTTTTTTTCTTGCTCTCTGAGCTTACGCTATATATACCCTCTACAAATAACTCTTCCCCCTTTCCTCTCTATGCTCTAATATTCTTTCATAATAATATATATTTATGTATACGTATGTATTTATATATGATCTAAGAACTACTTCATACAAATTTTCAAGGTACAGGAAGTATCTACACAAGTTAGTGTCTACCATATAACGTACTGCCCTTTTTTCGGTAAGTAAGTAGTATTAGTCTACGTGTACGTGGATTCTAGAATTATACGGTTACAGTTCTGATGATGACCTCACGAGATCAAATCAATGGCATACGAAAACCTTTCGTCGTATTTATTTTATCGCACCCAATCGACGCTGTAAATGCGCAATAAACGGAATAATAACGAAACAAAAAATGTATAGAGATTTAAATAGTTTGAATGAGAGATCGGGCTATGGGGACAATGTTAATGTCTTAAACGTTAACATGGATATGCATTATTGATTACAGTTAATAATACTGACAGCTTAAATGTACGACGTACCGATATTACACTCAATCTAAGCGGACGCGAAAGTAGAGAGTGCCTCGCGCACAGAGTTCAAAAGTATATGTATTCGCGAAAAGTGACTTCGAAACGTGAATTTTTGCTCTTCAATTGGAACAGGAAACCCGTATACAATACACGTCAACATTTCAACGCGTATATCGAAACGGTCAAACCGAGAAGGAGATGTTTTTTTACACGATGCCAGGCACTCGCTACTCGTCGTCGTCGTCGTAGACGATTTCCTCTACGTCACTATTTAATATTAAGCAAAAATCCTTCTCCGCCTCTGCGCGACAACTAATGAAAAATTCGCTCACAACCAACTGCGAATCAAAAATCACCTTTCCCTCTTCTAAAAAATTATTGTAACACCACACGGACGTCTCGTCATCGCGTCGTCTGCACAACGCGCGGTCGTTGCTGGCTACACGTGTAATTAATAATAAATAGCAAGTTAAATTTTATTTATTATTATCGTTATCACACGCGCGCCCGTGCGCGAGCGCGCGCGTGCAAAAAGGGGGATTTAAGTAACAGATCACAGGTGAAACTAGGCTATTCTCTGTAACAAATTAATATCACATGAAAAAATATGTATCGGTTGCAATATCCTATCGCAAAAATTTCCCCGCGAGTGACTGACCCGGACTAGTCGGACGGATGACTCGGATCACGAGTCACCGATGATTCAAGATTTGACTGACCTCAATCATCTTTTTCTTCGCTCATCTCGCTATATATCTCGAACTCTCGCTCTTTTATCATTGTTCGAACAAACGCGCGTGTTTTTATTATCATCTCCTTCATCTCTCCCGCGAGTTCTTCACGGAATTCCATCTCTTCGATCGTCTTCCCAATCGATACCGATTATCCGTGATCTTACCGCTCGCTTATCGGTCTAAGTCTAAATCACTTATCAACGACGACGAACAACTAAAACCCTGACTAAATGATTACGATTACGAGTAACGTTTTGGCATTTATCTTCGCGCTCGCTGCGCATACCCCGGCTCTCTCACCGCCACCCCTTCTCTTCCCCCCGAGATACATAGATCTCTCGAGCGAATATTAGGATATAAGCTTTACTTTGGCTTCCAGCTCGTGCCACCTCGTGGCTTGTCTCCGCGCGTGGCGTTATTTAAAAATCTAAACACATTGCTCTCCTCTACTTAAATTATCGTTTTTATAAATCAATGCTCTTATGATCCCGTCAAAGAAGTTTCTTTCGTGGAGTATCCGCGCTGCCGCGGACTTGAGGAACAACCGTTTCACAATCAATTTGGCGCGATTCAGTTGGAAAACATCGCACCCCTTGGGCGTGTAAACTTCTCAGAATGGTCGATCGTCAATCTTTCGTACGTGTAGCAAGCGATCGCCAAACGGCAAATTGTCTTATCTTGTTTTCAGGTAATGTGTTAGTCCCCTTCCAACATCTTACGATGTTTCTCGTAATTTCATCGTCATCCATCGTGCCGCGACGCATTGCGTGTTTGCATATGAGGTAGGTTTGCGCGATGTTTTTTTCTGTTTTTTTTCTTT